TGCTCTCCTCGTTCATGGAAGGCTGCTATGCTGGGCTATATCCAGAATAGGCTGCAGGGGAAGCAGGGAAGAACTGGCAGTTCTTTAGGAATAAAGGTACAGAGACAAGAAGTATTGAGAGTCAGACTCCCAAGTGCATAGGTCAGGACCTGGTAGGGGTGTATCAAATGCCTCTCCTTGCATGCAGAAGCCACAGAACCAAGAGGAGCCCAGTCATGGATCCTGCCACAGGCGACCCGTGGCTCTTTTTGCTTCATGTTTCTGGAGAGCCAGTTTGAACAGGGAGGCAACTAGATCCTGCTCTTGCTCCCCAGGTAAGGTTTGTCCATTGAAGAGGCCTCTGGTCTGCTCTAAGGGCGATTGGGAGGAGGGAAGGCAAGAGCTGGTCTGGGCAGAGAGTCTTGGAGAAAAGGCGGAGTCCAGATCATTGGGTGTCCACATCTCACTTGCACGACCAGAGGACTTTCTCCAGCTGCTGGGAAGGCTGTCTGCTGAGAGTACTCCATGGTCAGCCCTATCTGGGAGTAAATTTAGCAAAAGAGAACTGCACTGTCAAAGAAGGTCACCTCCCCACCCCCAGGATGCCCAGATCCATTGACTGGCCACCGTGGAGGTGGAGAGGCCTAGCTCCTTTGCTTAAACTCAGGACCACTCTAAAGGGCCACTGACTTTAGCACTTCTCACAAGGCGTGCTGAGGCCTTGCCATGACTACATCCCAACCTGATTTCTCCCTTCGCCCTTCTCTGCTTGCTTCTCTTTTTTCATAGGTGTGGATCCTGAGGACACCGTCTCATGAACATCTTACACTAATCTCCAACTCAGAGCCTGCTTCCGAGGGAGCTCAACCTGCAACAGCCACTGACTTAAATCTAACTTATTCAATAAATCTGCATCTAGTTTCCATTATGGGCCAGACATATGCGGACACTGGGGACGGATCCATGGATCAACCATCTTCCTTGTGCTCTAGTCTGGCTGGAGAGCCAGACAGGTAAGCACATCTGTGTGCTAAAGTGCAGTGGGTGCCATCATAGGGGTTTGCTCCTGAAGAATCTAATCAGGGGCATTTGTTTTTCTCTGCGTGCATTTCCGGTGTCCTACAATTGAAAGGTAGGAAGACGCTGGCTCTGAGTCTTGGACTCCCCATGTAGTCAGCCTAGTGGCCTTGTACACCTTTAGCAACAAGGAGTTCCTGTGGTCCCAAGCAGCTCTGCATAATGGAGTATTCTTATAAAGAATTCATCTCTACCTCCCTGTAGCTGTCTCTGCCCTGGTCTTGTTCTCGTCCTTAAAACTTCCAGAACAAATTCACTCCAGAGTTGCAGAGTGAATCAGAGAATCTCTGGCAGGGTGAGGAAGTGCTCAGAGCATGGGGATGAATTCCATGCTACACAAGTCTGCAGAAAAGGGGGTTCTCCTGCTGGCTAGTGTGTGCCCTTTTTGGAAGGAGGTATCTCCTGCCTGAAACTTGTTTTTTCCCCTCCAGTCTTAGAATGTGTTCTCACATTTGGAACAAGTACTCTGAGGATAAAGGGCAGTTTATGAAAATTGCTGGACTTTTCAATGCCTACATTGCTCCAGTGTGCATTGGGAATCTGCAAGAGCAAGCAGAATATGCAGCTTCTCCCCAAACTTCTTCCTTTCCTTTCCTTTCTTTCCTTTCTTTCCTTTCTTTCCTTACTTTCCTTACTTTCTATTGGATGTTTTCTGCCATCTTATCTTTCAGATCACTTATTCAATCCTCTGCTTCATCTTATCTAATATTGATTTCCTCTAAAGTATTCTTTATTTATGACTGGTTCTTTTTTTATGTTGTCTATCTCCTTTTTTATGATTTCTATCTCTTTGTATAAGCTCGCACTAATTCTGCAGCAGAATGAAGAGTTGGGGGTGGGGTCAGGCAGTGGTATGGGGAGTGCAGGAGACAACGGAGGGCAGCTGAGTTGGGGGTGGGAGGCAGGCACCCCCTTCCCCAGACCTGATGTTGGCAGTGCTGGGCTGTCTGGCAGGCCAGGGCAAGAAGCCTGAGGTGACTTGATGGCTTCCATGAGTCCCTGCCTCTGACAAATGCCATGTTGCAGGCTGACAAATCAAATGCGAGTGTACACCAGGCTGTCCTTACCTTGCCAGTTCAGACACTCAGACACCAGGCACTGGCTTCCATCCTCCCTGACATCTGAATTACGACAAGGCAGGAGGCAGGGCTCTGGCGCTCTGGAGCCAGGAAATGATAAACAGATGTTGGAGGACAAAGGGGCAGGATGTGCTGGAAGGTTTGTGGCACCTCAGGCCTACTTGCAACAGCCTTTCTCCCTGGAGAATAAAGAGGGCAGTGAGGCCACAACAAAGAGAAGCTGGTGGCAGAGGGGTTAAGGCCATGGGCTTTGAAGTCCCACAGGCCTGGGCATGAGTCCTGGTTCTACCACTTGCTCATTGTGTGACCTTGGACAAGTTATTTAACCTTATGTGTCCAGTAGGGAAAATAATAGTTCTTTACTCAGAGTGTGGCTTTGGGTGGATTAAATAAGATGATGCATGAAAAGGACTTAACACAGTGCCTGGCACACAACACTCGACAAATGGTAGCTGTTTATGCTGCTGCTGCTGCTTGGGGAACGGGTCCTGTAAAATGAAATGTTTATTTGTCCATCAAATATGAACTGTGCCCTGCTTGGTGCCAGGTGCCAGGGCACAAATGCAGACCAGCCCTGATCCTGGCCTTAAAGAGCTGACAGGCAGGAACAGGCTGTGCCAAGAAGCCACAGCCGGCTGTAAAGTGACATCTAGTTACCGAGAACCCTCTGGGCTGTTCCTAAAATGAGAAAGCTGTGAAAGCAGAAGTTTACAGGGAACACTGAACCATGTCAAGGCCTGGCACTGTCGTCAGCTAGTGATAGTGTGTATCCTCCTGCAAGTTGCCTCTGCCAGACAGACTCTTGCTCAGCCTTCAAAGCCCAGCCCGAATGCCCTTTCTCCAGGTAGCCTTTTGCACATGGTCAGAGTCCTCCTAGCAGTTGATGCACACCTTGATTGAGACACTTACCAACTTCTGATAGTGCCAATATTCATTCTTTACTTGACTTGCATGTCTTTTTGAACTAGAGGGTTCATGAGAGTAGGAAATACTTGGGGAGCAGTGTAGAGTGGTGTTTAGGGTTGTGGTGTTCTGGAATCCATCATATGTGGTTGAACTCCTTGGATGCCTCAAGTTTGGTGTCTTTGGGTGAATTCATTAATATCTCTAAACTTCAGTCCCTTTATCTATAAAGCTGAGAGCAATATACAGATCTGGATTTGTTGTGAGGCTAAAAATGGGATACTAGCCCCAAAGGGCTTGGCATAGAGTCTGGCACACAGGAATCCCTGGGGACACTCACTAACATGGTTGTATTTCCATCTCTGAGTCTATCTAGTCTTGCCTCAGTACTTGGCCCATGGTAGGTACTCTATAACTGGTTATCAGTTAAATAAAATTAATTCCCCATCCCAGGACTCGGGATCAAATCTGTCACATGAAGAAACTTCAGATCAATTCTATGCACCCAAGGGAACTCTGAGGCAATCCAAACCTACCTTTTCAATTCACAGATGGGCAAACTGAGGCCCACACAGTTGTGTGGGGGCAGTGCACGCAAGCAAATGCATTTAGATCGTCCTTAGTGAATTGCAATGGTATTTTGGTTAGCTCTGTGGTGCATAGGTTCTCAATAGCTAGTTTCTTTCCCATCTGACCTGTTTTTGTGTAGAGGAAATATCAAGGTGTATGATGTCAATGCAGTTAAGTAATCCAGCCAGCTGTGTAAACATCTGGAAGTAGTGGAGACACAGTCCCAGAGCAAAATAGGGATCAATGTGTCCAGACGTCTCGGTGAGACTTCTAAACTGTAACCTGTGAGGAGCCAGTTACGAGAGGCGGTGCCCTGATCAGAAACCTGAGCGTGCATTCTTTCCTCTTTAGGTACTGAGTCCAGGAGGGCCAATGAGGAGGACAAGAAGGCCACTGTGCCCAGTCTGTGGGACTTTGGAAAGTTGATGTGAGGTTTAGGAAAATCCTGCTAATGACATATTAGCAGTAACTGGAAACAACTTGTCAGATTCGCAAGGACCTGCCTCTTCTCACTCTCCCCACGGCAGGGAGTGGTGGACGTGGCCATGCCCTGACTCCAGATCCCCGGGAGAGAAAAGATGGATATGCAAGTCTGGAGTCTAGGGCTGCAGACTGGGAATCCCAGATCTGTTTTCTCTGTAGAAGTGACTATTCATGACCCAGAGCACGCAGTGGAAAAAGACTTTTTAAAAGCTTCCAGCCCAACACTTGAGATTTGGATGAAGGAATCGAAGTCCAAAGAGGAAAGCTGTATGACCAAGGTCATACAGCTGGGCAAAAGATTTAAGGCTAAGAGCCAAGCTTCCGGACTCCAAATCCCCACTGATTTTCCTATAACCCAATTGCCCACTCTCGTTATTTAAAATTATTTTAATAGCACTTATTGTCTCTTCTTTATATCTAATTACAAAAGCGACGTTGTAAGAAATGTGAAAAACACTCAGAAGTACAAAATAAATTTGTGAACAAAATCTCTAGCTGGAGCTCACAACTGATTTTTGTTCCCTCTCTACATATCACACACATGCCCCCCCACCCACACGACACACACACACACACACACACACACACATACACAAACGGTATCCAGTTCCTTGACAGGTGTGGTCTGTGGCTTCCTGGGACCAAATATAATTTGCATATAGAGAACACGAGATAAAGGAACATGGATTCTGTTCATCCCTTATGAACTATGCGGTCTCCTCTGAATCTTACTTTCCTCTTCTATACAATGGGTTATCACATGTACCTTAGAGTAAATCAAATTAGAGCAAGAATGTGCAATTGCTTTATAAAATATAAAGCTTGTTGTTCAAAGAATTAATAAATGATGATAACAATGGCTGGTGCTTGGGGAAGGTGGTGGTGGTTTCTACACAGGTCACCTAGATTTCACTTTTTGGCTCTACTCTAGGGCAGCTTTCTTCTTTTTCCCCAAGTCCAATTCTAGCTCTCAGGCCAATCCTCTCCCACACCACCCCCATGATAGCTCCAGAGCCCTCCATGGATAGATGGACAGGATAAGTGGGTAGTGGAGGTGGCCATGGGGGCAGGATAGCCCTGCAAGGAGAACAGGCATCTCCCCCTCCTCAGGTGTTCATCCTTGACTGGATCCCAAAGACTGCCATGCATCTGTCTCAGATGCACAGTCTCAAACATCCTGGGGCTGTAGACTCTGTCCCACCCAGTGTGCTGTAGTTTCTCCTACAGCGTCTCAGGGGTCTTGTCCTCCTCTACTCTGTTGCAGGCACATGAGTGCTAGAACTGGCCTTTATTGCCATCTGCCTCTCCTTGTCTGCCCAGGCAGGACAGAGATGGATGACAGGCAGTCATTCTCTTAGAAAACAGCAGAGAGACCAAAATCAGAGATTGATGCTGGTTCACAACGGGCAGGCACAGAGATGACCAAGCACCTGGATTCTATTAGTATTTATCCTTGGGCGTCACCAGTCCAGGGTTCTAGGCTGGGAAGCTAGGGAATTTGCCTGGGACCAGGAAGCCATGGTCTCATTAATCATCTTAGCAGAGTCTGGGCTTCAAGGGGCAGAGGCAAATGAGTGTGGGCCCCCTTGGCAGAGGATCTTCTTCCTCAAAGTCCCCTTGTCTTAGGGACAGCCTTGTCTTTGTACATTAGACAAATAGATTCCAGTTTCACCTTTACCCCTCACACCTTGTAGAGCTCAGGCAGATGTCTCAATCTTCGCTACACCCAATTTGCTCATCTACCAAATGGGCATAATAATAGAGCCCACTTTGCCTCCCCCTTGGGAACTAATGAAGGACTGTTCAAATCTCTGTTTGAGTGTATGAGGATTTTGCTGTGGGACAGACAGGAGATGACCTCTGACCAAAATGGCAGGGAACTCTGGGGCCAAGGAATAAGAATCCTACAGTGAGACTCCTCTGGTGGATCTTGGCTTTACTTACCCACAGAAACCCAGAATCAAGACCTGCAATGAGCCAGCTCCTAATCCGGGTCCCACTGCTCCATCCCTTTGAAAGTATCACTGCCAAGACCTCATGTTCTCTGTCTACTACTCCAGCTGAGGCACACTCACTGTCTCCTGGGGCTTCTTGGCGCCACTGCAGTGGCCCTATTGGCTTTGGGATCCCATCAGCTTGAGAATGGATGAGTCATCGCCCCCCCTGTAACTTCTGCATGGTGTCTTCATTCCCCTGTGGAAAGTGCCTTCGCTGGTCTGCATGGGCCATAGTTTGGGAGTCCTTCAGGCAGCAGGGGGCCTTGGGACTCACCCTCAGTGTAAGTGTCTGAACACTCTGGTGTGCCTAGGGTGGCCCAGGAAGGAATCCTCTGGCTGGGCCTTGTTATCGTCTTTGTCGGAAAACAGGTGCTTCTGAACACAGCTCCGGGTGCCATGGAATCTCAGCCGGGTCCCTTTAATGCGTCTTGTCAAGCAGGCCCTGATCCAGCAGTGATAAGGAGGCCCTGCTGCTGGGGATAGCTGCCGTAACCAGTCCCAAAGTGCCTGTCTTCTCTCTTTGCGGGCAATCGCCGGAGTTCAGTGCCTTCCATTTATCAGGCAGATGTAATCTCCTCAAATAGCTGCCAAGTCCTCCTCTTCCTGGAGTTTCCTAAGATAACCGCTTCTCCGGGAGGTGAAAGGGCATTTCCTTCACCAGGAAGAGATGCCATCTGCACACGAGTTTGCACAAAGCCACTTCTAGAGGCAGAGGTTGGAGGTTACTTTTTACAACATTCATTCTCCTTCTTCTACTTAATAACAATGTGTTTTGGGGGCATCGATGACTCCAGACTATTATTTCCAGCTTTCCTTGGGACCAGAGGGGATTATGTGATTAAGTTCTGGACAATGAGATATAAGCAGAAGTTGTTTGGTAATTTTGGAAAACCTTTTAAAAGGGATGGGGCAGACCCTACTCCTTTTTTAAAAAAAATAATTCCTGCTACCTGGAATAGAGATGTGATGGCTGGAGCTCCAGCACCTATTTTGGGTCTTGAGGTGACCTACACAATAGAAGCCATGTGCTAGAATGGTGTGGCAGTAATATTGAAGATTTATTCCCTGACCCTTTGGAAACCCTATACTCATCTTGGACTGTCTGCCTATGGACCTCTTTACACAAAAGCAAGTAAACTACCTTTTTAAAAAAGCCATTATTATGGGTTTTCCATCACAGATTAATCCTAAGAGATGTACTTTGACTCCAAAGTCTAACACCATATTGTTTTATTCATTCACTAACTTTCTGATTTATTTCCAGTGATACGGCCAACATTCTCTGTGCTACGCAGTGTGCTAGATGTCAAGGACCTAGAGATAATTGGCACCCAGCATCTGACTCCTTAGAACTCCCAGTTCAAGTTAAGAGTCAGATAGGATCCTCATCTGCTCAACCCTCTTCAATGGCTTCATTTCACCTTGGGCATGGTGCACTGCAGAGCTCCCTGTCTCTCTCTCCGTACTCCTACTCTTCTCCATGCTGGACTCCTTGTCTGGTGAAGCTACCTAGAAGCAAGAGTAAGGGCTATAAAGTCAGATTCTCCTGGGCTGAGATCTGACACTGCCTTCTACTAGCTGTTTGGCCCTGACACAATCTTAGAAAAGTGCTTACCTCTTTCCTCATCTGTAAAACAGAGATGATAGTTACCCTCTCACAAGACTTCAGAGAATTTGGTGAAGTAACATGTGTACAGCATATAGGACAGTTCTCAGTGATACATAATATCATTGTGATCACTCTCCACTTAACTCACGTTGCCATTTAGTGATAACTTTTTATGAAGCATCTGTTTGTGCCACACACTCTGTCCTCCCCAATGCCTACTCCTCCCGCTCTCTCTATAGGTCCATCTCCACTACTTGACTGATGCTTGGAATTTCAGAACCCTGGGCCCAGTTGGCCTAGAGGATCTTCCTAATGCTCACAGAAGACTGAGTTCAGTGCCCCTCTTGGCCATTCCATTCTTACTTATCTGACTTACTCTCACTTCATGGACATTGTGTTTTATAGGCTAAGGTCCATAGGAATCAAGACTGTACCCTCATTTGTGTCTTTATCTCCAGCAGTAGCTGCTACTTAGTAAACATTTACTGACTGGATGGATGGATGGATGGATGGATGGACGGACGGATGAATGGATAGATGAGTGAATAGATGGACTGAAGAGCTGGCTGCTGGCAGAAAGGTAAGCACTGTAATAGATCAGTGTACAAAGTAACATGGGAGGAAGTGGGGTTGGTTCTAACTCATCCAGATAAGGGAGGAAGGGTGGAAGAAACTTTCATGCTGAACGTTGATGGGTGGGTGATGGTCTTCAGGATAGGCAGTTACCTCTACAAGATGATACAGTGAATGGAGAAGCCTGTGTTTTGTTGCACTGACCCCAAGTGATGGGCACTTTCCACAGATGTCATACTCAAAGTCCCCTTCCTTAAGGTGGGGAGAAGAAGGAAGTCTCAAAGTCCTCTCGAGATTCTAAACCACAGGGTTAGAATATGCTCGAGTCTTTCCCCTTGGGTGAGCACACATGAAATTTTGTCATGAAGAGGCCAAAAGCTGGTCTCAGGGGCATCAAAGACAGGGAGGGAACCAACATGAAAGAGCCACAATGTCACAGAGGCAGACACACATGACCTCTGAGACCCTCTCAGTGATTAGGTGAAGACATTATTTTACTCCTCCACTGCAGATGTGGAAATTAAGGCTGGGATGGTCAAGTCACCTCCTCCATATCACCCATGAGCCTCCCTCCTTTAGGTTTTCTATGCTGCTTGAGACATTGCAGGGGTGGGCAGGTCATTTAAGACTCACTCTAGCACCCGGCTACAGGGGGAGGGGTCCCGATGGTAGAATGCGTAGGACAGCAGACTTCAACAAGGACACACAGAGCACATATTGGTGAGTCTAAGGGTTTGAATTGGTCCATTCATTCATCCATTCACTCATTCACTTATCCATCCATCATCCATTCATTCAAACATATTTATTGATCAACTTTTGGGCAGTAGGCACTGTTCTAGATGCTTCGGGAAACAAAACATGTGGATCTATATATCTTGGAGTTTATATTATAGAGTAATGAGATAGAAAACAAATAAGGTGAGCCAAATGACTGCAGATAGAGACCGGTGCAATGGAGAAGACAAAACGGGGTATGGACTAGAATGGCTAAATGTAGAGTGGGGCCAGGGAGGTCTCAAGGAAGATATAAAAATGCTGAGCTGAGAGACCTGAATAACAAAGACTTGGCTGTGGTAAGGTTTGTGGGGAGAATTCCAGGCAGAGGGCAGAGGGGTTAACAGTATAGAAATCGGACACTTGAAGTGCCCAGGAGAGTCACAACCCAAGGCCAGAGGATCAGGGGGTCAGTGCTGCTTTAGAGATCATGGGAAGAAAGTACCACAAGCCAACACTGAGCTCCGGGGAG